ATGCTTAAAGCATTTGAATGGTCTCGCGCCACCTGGCCTGCTGTCTTCATCCAGCTCTACACGTTGTTATCTGAGTTCAGAACCAGGGGGTTACAGTGGAAAGATTAGGATGGGGCCAATTGAGTCTGAGATGCGATATTTCTTCACCCAGAGAATGGTGAGCTTGTGGAATTCTCTGCCATAGAAAGCGGCCGCATTGATTTTTTTCAAGAAGGGGTTATATGTACTTCTTAGGGGGTAAAGGACCGAAATGTATCGGCGGAGCAGGGATGTGGTTGGGGTTGGAGGGCAGGGAAGAAAGCGAGGACAGGGAACTGAGTTAGATTATCAGATTGAATGGCCTACCCCAGTCCTATTTCCTAAATCATTTTTATCTATATGCTCAGCATCAAAGCTTTAACTTTCCGGTAAAAAAAGTACTGATAGTGTCTCAGAAGCTTTGAATTTTTTCTTCGTTAACCTATTATTCCCAATCAACCTGTTCAGAGGTGTTATTACACATCTCTGGAGTAGGTCGGACTTGACCTTGGATTTCGTGGTCCGGGAAGGGCCACTTTCAAACACTTTGACGTTTTGCAGCTGGGGAAACGACTAAATGCTTAAAGTATTTGAATGGTCTCTCTCCATGTGACTGCAATGCTGTGTCACCAAATACAATGGCTGGGTAAATCCTTGCCACTTTCGGATAATGAACCATCACACGTGTTTCCAGGTTAGTTTGGGATGCTAAACTCTCTCTCGTAATAGCTCCCACATTCTCGGTATTCTCTAGTTAAAGTGAAGTGGATGCAGTAAATCTTAAATTTAAAAAAAAAACTGTAGGAGCATTTAACAGATCTGCCAGCGATTGTGGAGAATTACAGAAATTCACTGTCAATGCCCAAACCTGAAAAAATACACCATTTCTGAAATCAACAAATGCTATAAACAATGCCGCGCATTGACAGAATTTTCTGTTCTAAAATTTGGTTAGAGAAGTTGCTTGTGAAATGAACATTATATTTATTAGTGATTAATTCTCATCTATCCATAAGTGGAAACATCTTTCACACGTCTTCAAAGACGTTTGGTGGAAGACCCTGTGGCTATGGCACTGATAAGTTGACTCCTCTGTCTTGCATTCTGAGACTTCCCTTGTCGCTTGAAATTCCGATCTCTTCACTTTAAAATAAACTTGTATCAGGTTGGATGCTGAAAAGATGTTTTCCCTTTTGGGAGACACTAGAAGGAGGAACATATATCAATATACAGGCTCGTCCATTTGAGGTGAAAATGGAGTCGATTTTCTCTGAGAATGGTGAGGCTTGGAAACTTTCTTCCCAGAAGGTGTTGAAGGCTGAATCATTTGCTTTTGTTTTTAAAGGCAGAAATAGATAAACCATAGAAAAGTTACAGCACAGAAAGAGGCCATTTAGTCCATTGTGTGTGTGCTGGTCAAGCAAAACTAGCCTCCCATTCTAAACTCACTCTTGTGGCAACCTGATTCCGAACAGAAAACATCTTACAAACTGAATGGAGGTTGTTTCACCAATCGATTGCTCAATCATATTTTCAGTCGCCAATGCAGATCAGATTGAATCATGAGCAGTGAATACAGAAAATATATTGCAACACGTGCAAATAAATGGCTCTTCAGTTTATTTTTTCAAAATTGCCTCACAGCCTGGCTGGGAAAATATTGAATTCTACCACAGGTATAGGGATTTTTAACATCAGCAGAAATAAATCTCATCCTGATCCAGACATCGATTTCATTAACAGCAACATACAACTGTTATAGTTGCTGGCAAACTTGCTAGTGCATAGTATTGCTGGTGATGGGTTTTCCATATATCAGCTATTTCTAAATGATGTATTTGCTGATTTGGGATATTCTGACAACTTTCTGGTAAAATTAAAGATGTATGAAGTCTATCGCCTTTGTCCTTCTGTCATTCACTCCATCATCCCACCAATTTAAAGATTAGGGAGTTCATCACTGACTGCCGTGTTGGATTTAGCTGTTAATGAAATCCAAACTGATTCATGTTCATTGGGGTTTGTTTATTCTACTATTAATAGGCTGAAGCTTAGTTATTAATTCATTTAAACTAGTCTTTTGTTCAACATATGACAGGTAGAGTCTGTGATATCTCTTACTCAAGTTAACTCTTTTTGAAGGGCTTTCCTTCTCATCTGCTCCATCCTTACCTCCAATAACTGTAAATATAACTCACAGTGTCAAAAGATACACTGTGGTAGACGCCTTTTTTTGTATCTTCCTGCATGACATTTGCTGAAATATAAAATGGTAGGTAAAGGAAATTTGAAATAAAAACAAAATTCTGGAAATGCACAGCAGGTTGTTGGAAACAAAAGCAGAAGCTGGCATGTCAGTCAACGTTCTTTGCAAAGTAGTTACCAATATCTATTTCATCTCACCAGCATACAGGGGACTGCACTGTGACTGCAAATATAATAGACTAAATTACATGGAAGAAATATCTGCGGACTTGCACAGTGAGGAAGGAGGATATAAAAGCACAAATCTTTTACCTCTTGCGACAGTATGGGAACATTTGTTGAACAGAATGATTTTGGCATCTTAAAATGATACAAAAGAGGTACAAGGATCCGTGGTTGAGAAATATGGTTGTTGACTTGGTCGCTGAGCTGGCTTGTGTTTTTTTTTCAGACATTTCGTCACCATGCTAGATGACATCATCAGTGGAGCCTACAAAGAAGCGATGTTATTCTGCTCCGCTTGGAATTTATACTGCCTGGTCCGTTATGGTGAGTACTACCATTTCCGGTTTTGATCTGTATGGGTATATATATGAGGTCCAATATTTTTCCAATAAATGGAGGCTTATAGCAGATACGAAAATTTATATTTGATCTTAGCATCATGCTAGAAATAGCAGAGCAACAGCCTTTATGTCAGCTTAGGCAGAAGGGAGTTTGTTTTAAAAAAAGCTCAAAACAGCAGAGACCCTCAAGGAATGTAGAACGTGCAAGAGGGAGCTTAAAAGGAAGATTAGGAGGTATTAAAGGGGATATGAAAGTATTACTGGCAGGTAAAATAAAGGAAAATCCTAAATTGTTTTACAGTCACAATGGGGGTGAAGAATAATGAGGGGAAAAATAGGAACCATTAAGGACTACAATGGTAACTTGTGCGTGTATCCAGAGGAAGTAGGTAGGGTTCTAAATCAATACTTTGGCTTGGTGTTCCCTCGTCAGAGGAACGTTTTTGTGTAGGAATCAGGGAGAAGGTCCATAATAGAATTAAATAAATTAGCATAAACAGAGTTGGTGTTCGTTGTACAAAAATATAAATTACTGGAAAATCTCAGCAGGTCTGGCATCATCTGTAGAGAGAAATCTGAGTTAACATTTCGGGTCCACTGGTGCTGCCAGGCCTGCTGAGATTTTCCAGCAATTACTGTTTTTGGTTCAGATTTTCAGCATCCGTAGTTCTTTTGGTTTTTTTTTGACGTTCCGAGTAGTCTGGCAGTCTTAATTGAAATAAATCTGATGGGCTGGATGAAATGTATCCCAGGTTGAGTGAGGCAAGGGACAGAATAGCAGGGGCACTTTCACTAATTGTCAATTCCACTCTGACCACAGGAGAGGTGTTGGAGGACTGAAGGAAAGCCAATGAGATAACATTATGCAAGAAGGAAGGAAGGGATAAACCAGGAAGCTACATGTTAGTCAGTCTAATCTCAGTGAAGAAAACTGTTGCAAGCAATTCTGAGAGATTTAACTGCATTTGGAGAGGCAGGGATTAATTAAGAACAGTCAATACGATTTTGTTAAAGGAAAGTCATATCTGACCAACATGATTGAGTTTTTCAAAAAGGTGATCAGGTGTGTAGATGAACACAATGCATTTGATACAGTCTACTTGGACTTCAACAAGTTTTTTGTTAATGTTCTGCATGTGGATGATACAAGTATTGATGGGTTGACAAATAGTGAGGAGGATAGCCTTGGACTACAAGAGGATACAAACAGGCTTGTAGGATGGGGTGATCAGTGGCAAATGGAAATCAGTATGAATAAATGCGAGGTGATGCACTTGGACAGGACAAACAAGGCGAGGAAATACATGATGCATGATAGAACCCTGGGAATCACTGAGAATCAGTGGGACCTTGGTGTTCATGTACAATGGTCCCTTAAGGTATAATCCCACCAGGTGGCTAAAGTGGTTATGAAGGAAATGGTATATTTGCCTTTATTAATCGTGGCATAGAGTTTAAGATTTAGAGGTACTGGTGGA